CCCGCACAAACACAAGCTCTCATATACCCACACAAACACAAGATCTCATACCCACACAAACACAAGATCTCATATACCCACACAAACACAAGATCTCATATACCCACACAAACACAAGCTCTCATATACCCGCACAAACACAAGATCTAACCCTGGAAACACAAATCGAAACTGTCTCTATTTTCCGCTTGTTACAACTTGTAATAAAGTTGTTACATCTTGGCTTAACGTGTTTATGAAGTATTAGAACGTTGTTACAACTTGTTATATTGGTTGTTATAACTGGTTAGGAGGTGTTAAAACTTGTTCGAACGTTGTACCAACGTCGTAGTTTCGGTGTGTGTTTGGCGGGAATATACCCGTACAAACACAAGATCTCATATACCCACACAAACACAAGCTATCATATACCCACACAAACACAAGCTATCATATACCCACACAAACACAAGCTCTCATATACCCACACAAACACAAGCTCTCATATACCCACACAAACACAAGCTCTCATATACCCACACAAACACACTAGCTCTCATATACCCACACAAACACAAGCTCTCATATACCCACACAAACACAAGCTCTCATATACCCACACAAACACAAGATCTCATATACCCATACAAACACAAGATCTCATATACCCACACAAACACAAGATCTCATATACCCACACAAACACAAGCTCTCATACACCCACACAAATAGAAGCTTATATACCCACGCAAACACAAGATCTCATATACCCACACAAACACAAGCTATCATATACCCACACAAACACAAGCTATCATATACCCACACAAACACAAGCTATCATATACCCACACAAACACAAGCTCTCATATACCCACACAAACACAAGCTCTCATATACCCACACAAACACAAGCTCTAATATACCCGCACAAACACAAGCCCTCATATACCCACACAAACACAAACTTTCATATACCCACACAAACACAAGCCCTCATATACCCACACAAACACAAACTCTCATATACCCACACAAACACAAGATCTCATATACCCACACAAACACAAGCTCTCATATACCCACACAAAAAAGCTCTCATATACCCACACAAATAGAAGCTTATATACCCACGCAAACACAAGCTCTCATATACCCACACAAACACAAGCTCTCATATACACCACACAAATATAAGCTTATATACCCGCACAAACACAAGCTCTCATATACCCACACAAACACAAGATCTCATATACCCACACAAACACAAGATCTCATATACCCACACAAACACAAGATCTCATATACCCACACAAACACAATATCTCATATACCCACACAAACACAAGATTTCATATACCCACACAAACACAAGCTCCCATATACCTACACAAACACAAGATCTCATATACCCACACAAACACAAGCTTCCATATACCTACACAAACACAAGATCTCATGTACCCACACAAACACAAGATCTCATATACCCACACAAACACAAGATCTCATATACCCACACAAACACATGATCTCATATACCCGCACAAACACAAGCTCTAATATACCCGCACAAACACAAGCTCTCATATACCCGCACAAACACAAGCTCTAATATACCCGCACAAACACAAGCTCTAATATACCCACACAAACACAAGCTCTCATATACCCACACAAACACACTAGCTCTCATATACCCACACAAACACAAGCTCTCATATACCCACACAAACACAAGCTCTCATATACCCACACAAACACAAGATCTCATATACCCACACAAACACAAGATCTCATATACCCACACAAACACAAGATCTCATATACCCACACAAACACAAGCTCTCATACACCCACACAAATAGAAGCTTATATACCCACGCAAACACAAGATCTCATATACCCACACAAACACAAGCTATCATATACCCACACAAACACAAGCTATCATATACCCACACAAACACAAGCTATCATATACCCACACAAACACAAGCTCTCATATACCCACACAAACACAAGATCTCATATACCCACACAAACACAAGATCTCATATACCCACACAAACACAAGCTCTAATATACCCGCACAAACACAAGCCCTCATATACCCACACAAACACAAACTTTCATATACCCACACAAACACAAACTCTCATATACCCACACAAACACAAGATCTCATATACCCACACAAACACAAGCTCTCATATACCCACACAAAAAAGCTCTCATATACCAACACAAAAAAGCTCTAGAAGCTTATATACCCACGCAAACACAAGCTCTCATATACCCACACAAACACAAGCTCTCATATACCCCACACAAATATAAGCTTATATACCCGCACAAACACAAGCTCTCATATACCCACACAAACACAAGATCTCATATACCCACACAAACACAAGATCTCATATACCCACACAAACACAAGATCTCATATACCCACACAAACACAATATCTCATATACCCACACAAACACAAGATTTCATATACCCACACAAACACAAGCTCCCATATACCTACACAAACACAAGATCTCATATACCCACACAAACACAAGCTTCCATATACCTACACAAACACAAGATCTCATGTACCCACACAAACACAAGATCTCATATACCCACACAAACACAAGATCTCATATACCCACACAAACACATGATCTCATATACCCGCACAAACACAAGCTCTAATATACCCGCACAAACACAAGCTCTCATATACCCGCACAAACACAAGCTCTAATATACCCGCACAAACACAAGCTCTAATATACCCACACAAACACAAGCTCTCATATACCCACACACACACATGATCTCATATACCCGCACAAACACAAGATCTCATATACCCACACAAACACAAGCTCTCATATACCCGCACAAACACAAGCTCCCATATACCCGCACAAACACAAGCTCTCATATACCCACATAAACACAAGATCTCATATACCCACACAAACACAAGCTCTCATATACCCACACAAACACAAGATCTCATATACCCGCACAAACACAAGCTCTCATATACCCACACAAACACAAGCTCTCATATACCCACACAAACACAAGCTCTCATATACCCACACAAACACAAGCTCTCATATACCCACACAAACACAAGCTCTCATATACCCACACAAACACATGCTCTCATATACCGGCACAAACACAAGCTCTCATATACCCACACAAACACAAGATCTCATATACCCGCACAAACACAAGCTCTCATATACCCACACAAACACAAGATCTCATATACCCGCACAAACACAAGATCTCATATACCCACAGAAACACAAGCTCTCATATACCCACACAAACACAAGATCTCATATACCCACACAAACACAAGATCTCATTTACCCACACAAACACAAGCTCTCATATACCCACACAAACACAAGATCTCATATACCCACACAAACACAAGATCTCATATACCCGCACAAACACAAGCTCTCATATACCCACACAAACACAAGATCTCATATACCCACACAAACACAAGATCTCATATACCCACACAAACACAAGCTCTCATATACCCACACAAACACAAGATCTCATATACCCACACAAACACAAGATCTCATATACCCACACAAACACAAGATCTCATATACCCACACAAACACAAGCTCTCATATACCCACACAAACACAAGATCTCATATACCCACACAAACACAAGCTCTCATATACCCACACAAACACAAGATCTCATATACCCACACAAACACAAGATCTCATATACCCACACAAACACAAGCTCTCATATACCCACACAAACACAAGATCTCATATACCAACACAAACACAAGATCTCATATACCCGCACAAACACAAGCTCTCATATACCCACACAAACACAAGATCTCATATACCCACACAAACACAAGATCTCATATACCCACACAAACACAAGCTCTCATATACCCACACAAACACAAGATCTCATATACCCACACAAACACAAGATCTCATATACCCACACAAACACAAGATCTCATATACCCACACAAACACAAGATCTCATATACCCACACAAACACAAGATCTCATATACCTACACAAACACAAGCTCTCATATACCCGCACAAACACAAGCTCTCATATACCCGCACAAACACAAGCTCTCATATACCCACACAAACACAAGCTCTCATATACCCGCACAAACACAAGCTCTCATATACCCGCACAAACACAAGCTCTCATATACCCACACAAACACAAGCTCTCATATACCCACACAAACACAAGATCTCATATACCCACACAAACACAAGCTCTCATATACCCACACAAACACAAGCTCTCATATACCCACACAAACACAAGCTCTCATATACCCACACAAACACAAGCTCTCATATACCCACACAAACACAAGATCTCATATACCCACACAAACACAAGATCTCATATACCCACACAAACACAAGATCTCATATACCCACACAAACACAAGCTCTCATATACCCACACAAACACAAGCTCTCATATACCCACACAAACACAAGATCTCATATACCCACACAAACACAAGATCTCATATACCCACACAAACACAAGCTCTCATATACCCACACAAACACAAGATCTCATATACCCACACAAACACAAGATCTCATATACCCACACAAACACAAGCTCTCATATACCCACACGAATATAAACACAACATTTAACTTTCCTAATAATCTTTAAAATTTAAAGGTTATTATGTTGTTGAAGATTACAAGGTTATGTAAAGGTTAAATATCATTGTATCCTTGAAAAATCTAATAAAGCAAAACAAAAACACAAAAGAAGGGGGGGGAGGGGGGGTATGGGCAGAAGAACATGGAGACTGCATTAGAGGGGACCTAAAAAATCCCTCTGATACGTTGTGTGCTTTTCTCCGAGGCTATGGGGCCTCTTCTTCCAGCCACAGGGGGAGGGAACCCTTTATATAATTATAATAATAAATATATATAAACACACATGTAGATAAGGACAAGAATATAAACACACATGTAGATAAGGACAAGAATATAAACACACATGTAGATAAGGACAAGAATATAAACACACATGTAGATAAGGACAAGAATATAAACACACATGTAGATAAGGACAAGAATATAAACACACATGTAGATAATAACAAGAATATAAACACACATGTAGATAAGAACAGGAATATAAACACACATGTAGACAAGGACAAGAATATAAACACACATGTAGATAAGGACAAGAATATAAACACACATGTAGATAAGGGCAAGAATATAAACACACATGTTGATAAGGGCAAGAATATAAACACACATGTAGATAAGGACAAGAATATAAACACACATGTAGATAAGGGCAAGAATATAAACACACATGTAGATAAGGACAAGAATTTTTACACACATGTAGATAAGAGCAAGAATATAAACACACATGTAGATAAGGACAAGAATATAAACACACATGTAGATAAGGACAAGAATATAAGCACACATGTAGATAAGGACAAGAATATAAACACACATGTAGATAAGGGCAAGAATATAAACACACATGTAGATAAGGACAAGAATATAAACACACATGTAGATAAGGACAAGAATATAAACACACATGTAGATAACGACAAGAATATAAACACACATGTAGATAAGGACAAGAATATAAACACACATGTAGATAAGGACAAGAATATAAACACACATGTAGATAAGGACAAGAATATAAACACACATGTAGATAAGGACAAGAATATAAACACACATGTAGATAAGGACAAGAATATAAACACACATGTAGATAAGAACAGGAATATAAACACACATGTAGATAAGGACAAGAATATAAACACACATGTAGATAAGGTCAAGAATATAAACACACATGTAGATAAGGTCAAGAATATAAACACACATGTAGATAAGGTCAAGAATATAAACACACATGTAGATAAGGTCAAGAATATAAACACATATGTAGATAAAGACAAGAATATAAACACACATGTAGATAAGGACAAGAATATAAACACACATGTAGATAAGGACAAGAATATAAACACACATGTAGATAAGGACAAGAATATAAACACACATGTAGATAAGGACAAGAATATAAACACACATGTAGATAAACACACCCTCATAAACACCAACACACACACAATATGTACTTGTCACTTCGGGTACATTCCGGTGGACTTTAGAGGAAATAATAAACTTGGACTTGAAGCTATATACAAATATTCATATAAAAGTGCCATCAAGGGAGGACAATGTTTGGTGCTCTTTATGCTGCCATCAATACCAATGTGTTGCCACACATACTTTTTGACTCCTGCATAATATTTCATCGCTCTTCCTCAAGGTCCACACATAACTTTCTCTCTCTTGCGGCTCCTCTCACAATTTATTTTGAATTAGAACAAATATTGAGAGTGAGTCATTAGCATTGATTCAATTACAAGCTCACACAGAGGCATTTTGTCTGGAACAATGATGTTTCAAATTTTTATTATATTAATGTTTCAAATGAACATGGGAGACTATTATATTTTTAATTCTGGTCTGCTGGCATTACCAAATTTGTCTCCGGCTAGTCCACGTATTCTTATCCTCGTTTTATATCAATATCAGACTTTCCTTGCCAAGATCCATATATTCTTTGCTCCGCCTCGAGTCATTATTCAGGGTTTTCTTCCAGATCTGCTCGCAAGATCATCAACACTTCGCTAAGTTTAGTGCGAGAATCTTTGTTTATTTCCTCGTCGTGTGACGTGGTTGTGGCTGCCAATGTTGGGGCCATGAATCATGTTAGCTATAGTGAGGTCCCCGTAGTGACTGCTGCTAGTGAGGTCCCCGTGGTGACTGCTGCTAGTGAGGTGCCCGTGGTGACTGCTGCTAGTGAGGTCCCCGTGGTGACTGCTGCTAGTGAGGTCCCCGTGGTGACTGCTGCTAGTGAGGTCCCCGTGGTGACTGCTGCTAGTGAGGTCCCTGTAGTGACTGCTGCTAGTGAGGTCCCCGTAGTGACTGCTGCTAGTGAGGTCCCCGTAGTGACTGCTGCTAGTGAGGTCCCCGTGGTGACTGCTGCTAGTGAGGTCCCTGTAGTGACTGCTGCTAGTGAGGTCCCCGTAGTGACTGCTGCTAGTGAGGTCCCCGTAGTGACTGCTGCTAGTGAGGTCCCCGTGGTGACTGCTGCTAGTGAGGTCCCCGTAGTGACTGCTGCTAGTGAGGTCCCCGTAGTGACTGCTGCTAGTGAGGTCCCCGTAGTGACTGCTGCTAGTGAGGTCCCCGTGGTGACTGCTGCTAGTGAGGTCCCCGTAGTGACTGCTGCTAGTGAGGTCCCCGTAGTGACTGCTGCTAGTGAGGTCCCCGTAGTGACTGCTGCTAGTGAGGTCCCCGTAGTGACTGCTGCTAGTGAGGTCCCTGTAGTGACTGCTGCTAGTGAGGTCCCCGTAGTGACTGCTGCTAGTGAGGTCCCTGTAGTGACTGCTGCTAGTGAGGTCCCTGTAGTGACTGCTGCTAGTGAGGTCCCTGTGGTGACTGCTGCTAGTGAGGTCCCTGTAGTGACTGCTGCTAGTGAGGTCCCTGTAGTGACTGCTGCTAGTGAGGTCCCTGTGGTGACTGCTGCTAGTGAGGTCCCTGTAGTGACTGCTGCTAGTGAGGTCCCTGTAGTGACTGCTGCTAGTGAGGTCCCCGTAGTGACTGCTGCTAGTGAGGTCCCCGTAGTGACTGCTGCTAGTGAGGTGCCCGTAGTGACTGCTGCTAGTGAGGTCCCTGTGGTGACTGCTGCTAGTGAGGTGCCCGTAGTGACTGCTGCTAGTGAGGTCCCTGTGGTGACTGCTGCTAGTGAGGTGCCCGTAGTGACTGCTGCTAGTGAGGTCCCCGTAGTGACTGCTGCTAGTGAGGTCCCCGTAGTGACTGCTGCTAGTGAGGTCCCTGTGGTGACTGCTGCTAGTGAGGTCCCTGTAGTGACTGCTGCTAGTGAGGTCCCTTTGGTGACTGCTGCTAGTGAGGTGCCCGTAGTGACTGCTGCTAGTGAGGTCCCCGTTGTGACTGCTGCTAGTGAGGTCCCCGTAGTGACTGCTGCTAGTGAGGTCCCCGTAGTGACTGCTGCTAGTGAGGTCCCTGTAGTGACTGCTGCTAGTGAGGTCCCCGTAGTGACTGCTGCTAGTGAGGTCCCAATAGTGACTGCTGCTAGTGAGGTCCCAATAGTGACTGCTGCTAGTGAGGTCCCCGTGGTGACTGCTGCTAGTGAGGTCCCCGTAGTGACTGCTGCTAGTGAGGTCCCCGTAGTGACTGCTGCTAGTGAGGTCCCCGTAGTGACTGCTGCTAGTGAGGTCCCCGTAGTGACTGCTGCTAGTGAGGTCCCCGTAGTGACTGCTGCTAGTGAGGTACCCGTAGTGACTGCTGCTAGTGAGGTCCCCGTGGTGACTGCTGGCGGGCTGTCCCGTGTGCTGGTTGTGGGGGCTCGGTTGTGTTGGCTCAATTGTGTACATCATTTTTGTGACGTTGTGAGAGCTGGAGAAGACGGGCTGCATGTCCACCAGTTCAGAGCAGCCTTGGTGAAGTTGTATTTACTATTTGTGCCTGTAGACTGATGCTATTAGCTCTTGGGCCCCGCCTTTCTAACGTGACTCTGGTTGCATCTTGTCCTGCAGCCCTCGACCTATCCAGCTCCTCTAACTGCCTCCTGCCATCTTCTCTTCTCCTCTACTTCTCTTTGTTCTTCACTTGGTACTCTTCGCTACTCCAGCTCTACTCCTCATGATGTACTCACCTAGATGAGATTACAGGGTTGAGCGCCGGCTTTCCCTCAGTCACTAGTTGAGTTACATGTACTTTTTCATTCATTTTATTTTTTTGTCATTTACAGATGAAAATGTGTTGTAAATCCGCATCATTAATTTCCTCATTTCTTTCAGATCATTTCTCTGTGACTACTACATTATAGATGTTCCTTCGGACATCTGTGAGACATTCTTGTGACTCAAGAAGTAATCGTATGATTGTTTCCATTGTAGGTTAGACATATATGGAATGACTAGCATGGCCCAATGTGCTTTCTGAGGTTTTATTTATTCTTATGATCTAATTTATCCACTTGCGTCCTCTCGACTTCTGCCCCTTTGTTGAAGATCCGTTTTCTCCATACTATGCCAATTCTAGTACCTTGTATGTCGTTACTATGTCTGCCATGTTCCTTTTTCTTCATGGTGGTGGAGGAAGGGTCGCAGGTCTCTGTTTCTCTTTGGAGCCCAGACCTTATACCTCAGGCACTGGTCATGATGAGGATGATTTATATATGTTTCAGTGAATATGACGGCATGTTCCGTGTTAATTATTTTCTTGTTTAGGGTTCGTATCCCTCTGACTAGTGCTCTTGCATCTTGGTTAACATTGAAGATGATTTCTCGAAATCTTATATTTGTTCAAGGTTGACAAAATGAACAAAAACTGACTCTATAATATACTTATGACAATTTACACAACGTTTCGACCCTAAAACGTTCATTGTCAAGTGACACTGAGAAGTTGTCAAGTGACACTGAGAAGTTGTCAAGTGACACTGAGAAGTTGTCAAGTGACACTGAGAAGTTGTCAAGTGACACTGAGAAGTTGTCAAGTGACACTGAGAAGTTAGTTACATGCAAACTTGTGTCAGGTGAATGGTGAGAGAAATATGAGCAGAGAGAAGTCAAATGGGCCAATACACTAAGCTTACAAAGTCAGGTGTTGTGGTAATGGGACACCTGACTAATGGTGCCCATAGTGGGCCAGGTGTGTTGGCCAGTGACGTCATTGTTGGTGGGTAGTGTGTTCTCACTCTCATGGTGGGTAGTGTGTTCTCACTCTCATGGTGGGTAGAGTGTTCTCACTCTCATGGTGGGTAGTGTGTTCTCACTCTCATGGTGGGTAGTGTGTTCTCACTCTCATGGTGGGTAGTGTGTTCTCACTCTCATGGTGGGTAGTGTGTTCTCACTCTCATGGTGGGTAGTGTGTTCTCACTCTCATGGTGGGTAGTGTGTTCTCACTCTCATGGTGGGTAGAGTGTTCTCACTCTCATGGTGGGTAGAGTGTTCTCACTCTCATGGTGGGTAGAGTGTTCTCACTCTCATGGTGGGTAGAGTGTTCTCACTCTCATGGTGGGTAGAGTGTTCTCACTCTCATGGTGGGTAGTGTGTTCTCACTCTCATGGTGGGTAGAGTGTTCTCACTCTCATGGTGGGTAGTGTGTTCTCACTCTCATGGTGGGTAGAGTGTTCTCACTCTCATGGTGGGTAGAGTGTTTTCACTCTCATGGTGGGTAGTGTGTTCTCACTCTCATGGTGGGTAGTGTGTTCTCACTCTCATGGTGGGTAGAGTGTTCATACTCTCATGGTGGGTAGAGTGTTCATACTCTCATGGTGGGTAGAGTGTTCTCACTCTCATGGTGGGTAGAGTGTTCTCACTCTCATGGTGGGTAGAGTGTTCTCACTCTCATGGTGGGTAGAGTGTTCTCACTCTCATGGTGGGTAGAGTGTTCTCGCTCTCGTGGTGGGTAGAGTGTTCTCGCTCTCATGGTGGGTAGAGTGTTCATACTCTCATGGTGGGTAGAGTGTTCTCACTCTCATGGTGGGTAGAGTGTTCATACTCTCATGGTGGGTAGAGTGTTCTCACTCTCATGGTGGGTAGAGTGTTCTCACTCTCATGGTGGGTAGAGTGTTCTCACTCTCATGGTGGGTAGAGTGTTCTCGCTCTCATGGTGGGTAGTGTGTTCTCACTCTCATAGTGGGTAGTGTGGTCTCACTTTCATGGTGGGGTAGAGTGTTCTCACTCTCATGGTGGGTAGTGTGTTCTCAATCTCATGGAGGTAGAGTGTTATCACTCTCATGGAGGTAGAGTGTTATCACTCTCATAGAGGTAGAGTGTTCTCACTATCATGGAGGTAGGGTGTTCTCACGCTCACTCCCACCAACTCGGTCAAATGCTAGAGAGGACGCAAACACAGTGGCCTCCTTACCAGAGCCTCAGATATTAATACCAAGAAAAGCATCCAGCACTTCCACTAGCACGATAACATCATTTATATTTGCCAACATCCAGGGTATAAAAACACGCAAATCCAACAAAGTTCACTTTATAGATGGTCTCCTTCATGAGGCAAATGCAGTGTTTGCAGCCCTAACAGAAACCCACACAAAGGACTTCCTTGATGGTGAAATATGGATCTCAGAGTACAATCTCTTCAGATGTGATAGGAAACACCGGCTTCAGGGTGGGGTCAGCCTCTACATCAAAGACACACTCATCTGTACTGAGCTGCTAAACACCTCAAATGATATGGTGGAAGTGATGATAGTCAAA